GTCCGAGGCCCATCGCAGGGCTGAGGGCAAGCCCCGGCTGAGGAGCACCGGCTGGACCTGCCAGGAGTGCCAGGAGTGGGTTCCTGACCGGGAGAGCTACGTGGCCCACATGAAAAAGAGCCACGGCCGGGTAAGTGCAGTCTCAGGTCACAGGGCCGCGCCAGCTTCTCTGGACTTCTCTCCTGGGGGGTCAGCGGCCCCTTACGTGGCCGACCCCTTCGGATTCCTGGTCCTTTGAGGTCTGTGGGCATCCTTTCCGCCCGTGTCATCTGAGAAGGGGGCACACCCAGAACCCTCCTGCAGTCCTGATGCTCCGCTTTCTGTGGCCTGCAGACACTGAAGCGGTACCCGTGTCGGCAGTGTGAGCAGTCCTTCCACACCCCCAGCAGCCTGCGCAAACACATCCGCAACAACCACGACACCGTCAAGAAAGTCTACACGTGTGGGTGAGTGTCCGCAGGGGGACGCCGGGAGGTCTGAGACCCAAAAGACTGTCCATGGCGTTTCTCTACTTTGAGGTCAGCACGTCTTTAAATGGAAAAGTGCTGTGACTAGTACAGACATCAGGGCAGGTGAAAACCAGCTCCCAGGCCCTGGGGGCTTCTGAGGCCTTCCCCCCACTACTCCCCTAACCCCGGCTGCACTGCCGGTCAGTGGTGAAGGGCCCTGGGGCTTACGAGGAGCGGTGGTGTGACCGTGAGCCCGGCAGCACCACCTGCCTGTGCTCCAGCATGTCCGCCGGCCTCATGCTGACCACCACCCCGCACCCGGAACTCTGGGCAGTGATACCGGGCAGTGGAGGGCCAGTGCACACATTCCGACCTGCTGTTGTCTGTCACCTCGGCTGGCTTGCTGCCTAGAGCGCTCTGAGGAGTGCCCAGCACTCCCCTGCCAGCCTGATGACCACCCAGCCCGCTCTCTGTCTGCTCCAGACTCTCAGCCCTGGAGCCAGAAGCAGCGTCAGCCTCTGCCTGCCTGCCTGGCTCCGCTGGGCGCTGCGGCCTGTCATCTCACACCGTTCCGTTGGCCGTCCTTTCGCAGGTATTGCACGGAGGACAGCCCCAGCTTCCCGCGGCCCTCCCTCCTGGAGAGCCACATCAGCCTTATGCATGGCATCAGAAACCCTGATTTGAGCCAGACGTCCAAAGTCAGACCTCCGGGTGGACATTCCCCTCAGGTGAGTGTGAGCCCTTGCCCACCAGAGCAGCTTGCTCAGTGAGGGCTGGCGCTGGAGGGGCACTGGGAAGGCCACAGGGCGCCCATTGGTCCTTGTGGCCATGTCACAACAGCCCTGACAACTTCCCTCAAGGTGGGTCACTCTCGAGCCTGTGTGACCCACACCTGGGACTGCACACAAGTAAAGGACAGGGACAGAGACCCGCAAGGCAGCCCATTGGCCTCTTTTTAAAAAATATATATATTTTATTGATTTTTTACAGAGAGGAAGGGAGAGGGAGAGAGAGCCAGAAACATCGATGAGAGAGAAACATCGATCAGCTGCCTCCTGCCCAC